GGGCGGGAAAGTGATGAACAAGAAGTGGTGAATTACCCAAGCGACTTTCCTCAAAGAGCCGCCGAGCCGGGAAGAGGAGCTGTGCTGAGCCCCGCGCAGCCCGCCCGGCGCACCAGAGCTGCCCGGGGGGACCCGCCGGGGACTGTGGGGGCTGCTGGGTTGGCGGAGTGTGAATGCATCTCCGCAGCGAGATGCAAAAAGCCTCGTCTGCTTGCGTTTGACTTGCGATGCCGGCTCCTCACTAGAATGAAAAGCCTTGCACAGGATGAAAACAGGTTTGTTGCAAATTCTCCTGAAAATGTTTCGTTCCCCACCGCCGCCGCCTTCCTGTTGGAGATGTCAAAGAAGATTTTAATGATGACACGGTGGCAGATACCTCTGCTGCGTACCCTGCGTTGTTCTTTGGAGATGTTAAGGCAGAGATAAATCTTTTATGCAGCTGTCTTTTCATATCTGTGGCGGTTGCTGCACAGTCTGCACTTGATTGCAGCTAAAATATTCTTTTTAGGATCCGTTTCACAAAATGGTGCAAAATAAACACAGATGGGAGAAGTGAGGGAGAGAAACCAGTAATGAAGTACTGATGGTGGATTGATCTTCTCTCCTGCCTTCCACATCCCAATACCCTCCCCTGAAATGTGAGCCTTTCCTGACAACGAAATGCTATGTATCTGTTTTAAAGCAGTAAAGATTTGGGGGGCTCTTTAGCCGTGGTTTTGGAGAGAGACTCCCGTCAGTGGTGCTTGCCTTACTGACTGACTTTCTTGAATGTCTGTGGCTGTCAAGCCCATCAGCATCTATCTTACCTTCACCTCCTTTAAGGTATGTCTTGTTTCTTCCAACACCTCGCAGGTCATTCTTCCAGAATGCCAGAGGAAAGTTCACCAAAGCGGAGTCCTCAAAACATCCCATACAAGGACCTGCCCCATATCATCAATGCTGATGGGCAGTATCTCTTCTGCAGGTATTGGAAGCCAGCAGCAACTCCCAGGTGAGCACTTTCAAGCAAATGTCCTTTTTTACTGTCAATAAATAAGACTCTATTCATGTAATTACTATTTATAGCTTGACTGGTGTTACTCGGCGGTGTGCATGGAGCTGTATTCTGAATATTCTGCCTGTATTCTCCACACCTTTACTCACTCAAGTCACCCTTACAGGTGTAAACATGGAGTTACTGTCATTCCATGCATGGCTGGCTTGGTTGGCAGTTCACTGTGCTACTGGGTGGCACATGCAGGTGGCTGATGCCTGTCAGCAATAAACAACTATCTTCAAACTAATAACAAGGGCAGTCAGGGAGGGATGGGGTACAGGCTTAAGGATGTCTACTCCTAATTTTCTCAGTGACAACAAATTAAACATCAGCATCTGACTTCATTCCCACCAGTAGTGGCTGAAATCTTGGGGCAACAGGCAGAATGTGGTTTGGCTGCGTTGCTTTTTGACTGTTGTTTGGTTTGTGTTTTTTTTAACTATTTATGGTTATTAAATGATTTAGGGAGGTCTCTTGCTGGCAACTGCAATTTCGAAAATGAACCACAGTGATAAACTCAGGCAAGGAACCAGATAGAGACATTTCTCTAATGTGCTTGTCATAATTTAAACAGTCCCTTTACTGTAATAGCTTTCTATGCTGATTGTGTGCTTATGATCTGCTATAGCAAGCTGCCTCTGTTCCTCCTGTAGTCATGATCTTTCTTCATCCTCTCAGTATCTACTGTCTTGGCATGTATTTATGCTACCACTCGTTAGGTAGGTAGCTACTTCATAAAAGTCTGGATTTTGTTTTATTGTTTTCTTTTTCTGCAAGCTAACAGGAAAAGCCATGTTGATTTTACAGAGTTAGAACATAGTCACAGGAAAAAGTTGCTCAAGCTGTGGTAGGGAGTTAAACTTTTTTCTTCACTACCCAACAGATTAGACATCATCCTGTGTCTAAAGCAGCCTGCAGCTGTGCTGAGGGATGGATACAGGTCCAGGTTAGCTGGCCTTGGGTTTTATGCCTGCCAAACTAAGGTGCAATGGGAATAAAGTGGAGCTGGGAGGTGGGCAAGCACCAAAGTACACTGTCCCAATAGGGTAGGACAGTGCAGCTGTGTCCCGCCCTAGCTCCACTGCACTGGCTGGCCTGTAGGACATGGGTCTTGGTTTAAGATCACCTGGTCCACAGAGCATTTTATAGTTACTTCTACTCACTGTGTTTCAGAATCAAGGAGGAAAGTTTTTGGCCCTGATGCTTTATATAGTCTGTGCACCAACCTGAAGATTTCCTCTACAGAAAGAAAAAAAAAGGAAAAAAAGAGGAGAAAAAAAAAAGAAAAAAGCACCAAAAAAAACACTACTGGAACAAGCTTCTACTGTGAAACCAGACTGTCTCATATTATAATGCTAATTAATCATTAACTGCCCACAACGTTCTTCACCCAGTTGTGGAACTGCTTTCTTTTTTCATGTTTAATTTCTTAGCAAATTAGTAGTGACTGGATGAGTCTTTGATCCAGGAATGAAGAATGATAAAGAGCTGAGAGTTAAAACTTGGTGTCTAAGTCCTCTGGGTAGTTAATTTTTTTTTAGGGCTCTGCACACCAAGCAGTTAATTGGGAGTGAGGTTGCCCTAGTTTTGTGACAACAAGAGTGGAGAGGGGATCAGTGTTGCTCATTTACAAGTGGTTCCTAAGCGAGTGCGTGTGTGTACTTGCGTTTGCATGTTTGTGTAGGAGGGGGTGTATTGTTTATTATTAGTTCTTTTTGCATTTTTATGTATGAGAGAGATGATAAGTAACTGAATAACAAGTTAGTGCCTGGATCCTACAGTCAAGAATGCTCTTGAAGTGCTTTGATAGGCAAACCAAAAATACGTGTGGTGGTTTTCTTTTTCTTCCCCTCTCACTTTTCATAAGTGGCTCAGGTTTTTCTGCTTCATATGTAGAAGCTCAGCAACTTTCATCTAATTTTAAATGTTCAGCAAAAGTGATATATGTATATATATAGATGTATAGGGAGAGAAAGAGAGACACCTCAGGGGACTTTTACAGGCCTGTTACAATTTATTCTATCTCAAATACTGAAGGCAACTCTTTCAATCTTCCAACTCAATTGTTGATTCAGGTTCAAATCTTAACGCTAATGAATGACGCTATAACCGTCACACGGTGGGATCTTTCATTGATCCATTATGCATCTAATCCCCGCTAGGGCTATAGAAATACCTCCTCACTGCAGATGCCCAAAGGTTATCATTGACTTGCCTTCTATTAGAATAGAACTTATCATCCTTGATCCCTCTCCCAGGGAGGGGAAAAAACGGGCTATCTGCCAAACGAAAAATTAAAAAGTAGCCCTAGCCTGGGGTTGGAGAGCAAACAATGGCTCTAAGAGTGGGGCAACCAACAGACATTGCCCCTTGGAGCTGGTGCTTCTCTTTTATCTCCTTAAATAGACCTACAAAAGTGCATAAAGGTGGTAGCAGACTAGTGTGCTATAGCAAATTAAAAAAAAAAAAAAAAACAAATGCAACAAATTATTTTCAAGAAGATGAGGCTCTTCTGCTTTGTGCTCACAAATACCCAGGCTCTGATCCTGTGTGGTGTTGATCTGACTGATCAGCCCGTACTGGTGCACATATGGAAGCTTTGTTGTAAGTGCCACCGAGGCCAAGGTTGCCCTGTGAGTGAAAGGCACCTATTGTGAGTTCCTCAGCAGGGTCTGCTTTGTTTGGAAGGGAGATTTAGGTGATTACTTCACAGGAAGCTGACACACAAAGGCACTCAGATGTCATAATGATTAGATGGGGTAGATAGAGTAGGTAGTAATGGGACTAAGGAAGGAGAGCGGTAGAGTTTTCCACTTATTTTTTGGGAGGGAAGCCGCTCCCAACGGCGGAGCTGGGAACATACCAGGTGTCTTCTGTTGCAGTCTGCTGGCAGCAGTGCAGGTGCAACTGCCCTGGCCAGCAGCCCTGCAGGCCGCCCAACTTGTTGAGCCAGTTTCATCCTAAGGTGTAATTAAGTGGTCTTGCTGAATGCAGCAGGGAAGAAAAAGCAGGATGTGCTGGTGTTGTTTTCACGTGTCGTGCCAACAGAGGGATTTGTGGAGCATAGAAACAGGTAACTCTGGCCCCAGGTGCTCACTAGTGAGTGCAACACTTGAGATCTGGGCAAGGCAGGGTGTTTTCAGGACCACATAAAGGTGTTAGGAGTAAGTAAAAAATTGGTATCAAACAGCTTAATCTCATGCCTATAGCATGTCACAGTAGCTGAGGAAGTCCTACTTAATGGGAAAGCAGTCTTTATGTAAGCAAAAGCAACAGCTTCATGCAAGGTTAAAACCTCTGCCACCACCCTGGGCAGTCCAAGTCAAAATATGAGGTAATAGGAGGTGAGGAATTAAGAAACCATGCCCTGTTCCCAGCTCTCAGACAAAGCTGCTAAGAATAGAGATGGGATGAGGAAGGGGAAGGAAAGTTGGGAGGAGAAGTCAAGACATTTCCTCTGAGGCCCCTAAAGGGCCTGGAGAAGTTCAGAGATGACCTTTTTTTTTTCCTCCTCTCTATTCTGTATCCCCATAGCCTTTTCTGGATGCCTCAGCTGCTTGTCACTGCCTAGATAAGCACAAACAGTTTATCTGGGGCACTTTCAGCCTGTCTGCTTGGCCTCAAATAAACCCTGTGAGATTCATTGACCCAAAGAAGTTTTTTTTCAAAGGTGCTAGTAGCCTGCAGTCACCACTGACTTTAGATTGAGAAAGTGATGCTCAGCTCTCCCCCTGTAGATTAGCCCCTCCGAGTTGGACACTTGAAGCTTGAGACTTTTGTAGTTAGAGAATGCTTTTGAAAACCTGGATTCCAGACATCCTTGTACTGGACGTTCCTCATCTATCAAACAGAAGTCGTTATCTGACCGGCTAGCACGATGCTGGTGTGTGTCTCCACAGAGTGGTCACTAGGTGAACTTAGATGATTGCCAGCAGCTGAAGTGGACTTTCTGAGGGGGCTGCCTGAAGCTCAGACATGTGTGGGTCACAGATGTGTTCCTGGTCAATTGTTAATTGTCAAAGTATAATGCTGGGCCGGCCACTAAATTTTGACAGATACTCTCTGTGATCACTCCACCACCCTCCCAGGGGAGGAAAACAGGGGAACTAGGGAGAGAGACATCAAGGTCAAAAAAAGCTTGAACAACTATAACAATAAAAGAAAATAACACTTAGAATAACAATGAAGATGTTGAACTATGTACAGATATTATACAAGCATGCAAATATACTCAAAGATATAAGACAATATGTTATACAAAACCTGTGATTTCTGGATGACAACTAGATCCTGACTGAGAAAAGTCACAGAATGAACTTGGCAACAGATGGGAGCACCTGAGCTCAGAGTCACAGTGATAGTCCTCCCCTCCACCAAAAAAAAAAAAAAAGGAAAAGGAGCGATTCAGGTCCCACCTGGGGAGGCAGAGGCAAGACAACCTGTCCCAGGGAGCGGTGCTCCTCTGCAGCATGAAAACAGGAGGCAGGAACAGCAGCAGCACAGGCTGATGTGACGAACAACCACCAAAAAAGTCCTTTCAGCCCAGCAGGGCTCTTCTTAGGCGCCCTTTTATACTGAGCACATGGGAAGGGACGCTGTGATTGGTCCATTGGGATCCCCTTCCCCATCCTCTCCTCCCCATGGGCACAGCTGCCCCCCTGCCCCACTGGGATTGCCCCTGGGGCAGGAGTCCCAGAGAACTTCTATCCTGGTGCTCTCAAATCAAGACATTACTGTACTCTGAAATGGGTTGGTTCAACTATAGACGCTGTGACCATGGTTAAAGTGAACAGAATTGCAATTGTCTGAGTGAACAGTGTCTTTGTAGAAGTTCTTTCAGTTCTACACCTGACAACTGTGATTAAAACTACAAAATTAAACAAACAAAAAACATTCACTTTCCTGTTTACTTTTACAATTTCTTCTACTCTTTGGAAAAAGCCTGTCATTCATTC